GCTAGAGAAGCCAAAGAAAGGGAGCTGAGCGCCTCTCTTTGCATGCCAGCAGACAGGTTCTTGTCATCAGAGACAACACTGTTTTAACATGATTGCAATCACACACTGACAACACTCTCCACTTGAGAAATAAACCGACGCAGGAAGCAAGAGAGAAACAGAGAGACAGATAGAAAGAGATGTTTGAAAGCGCTGAGGTTTATAAGTGGAGTGTTTTGCCCAATATGTGTGCTGCCGAGTGTATCCGTGTGTGCGTGTGTGCGCGCGTGTGTGTGGATATGTGTGTGAGCTTTTACCTTGGTTTGAAAAGAGCCCATGAGAGGAGAGAGATTGAGAGAGAGACTCGAGATGTGAAACAAGAGGCTGATTAGTGAAAGTGAAGGCAAATGTTGCTATGTTCCCACACACACACACACACACACACACACACACAGCCTGAGTGTGAGCACTTGATTGCTGCCAAACAGCATACAAGGTCATCGCCTTATTATCACCCTCTTCTTCTTGTCCTCTCACTCTCTCTCTCTCTCTCTTTTATACACACACACACACACACACGCACACTGTCGCCCTCTTTCACACTTTCTTTTCTCTCTTTTCAACTTTTCTCACTCTCACATTTCGTCTCATTTTCTTGCTGAGTTTTAGTAAGTCAGATTTTTTCCTACATTTCAGTCTCCTCTCTGTGTTCAGCTAGTTACCTATAAAAATGGCCATGTCTTGGATAATTACACATTTAATTGAGAACAACAGTAATTAAGAATTAACCTTTTTGCGTGTTTACATTGCATTGTTTTTTTTGCCATCAGTCTGTCAATGGCTGTCATCCCCCGTCTTGTTTTGTCACCTTTTGTTCCTCCCTCTGTAACATCATTGTTTGATGTTATTCCCTCTTTCTCATTGTTTTCTCCTCCCCTGCCTTTTTCTTGGCCTGATTTTCCTCCCATCCCTTTGTCTGTCATTCGCAGATTGTCATTATGACTGACACGTTGCTGTTGGCGACGCAAAACTGGCTGCTAGTCAACACCCAGCGTTTCCACGGCGGTTTACGTGCAGAGTTTTCAGTGAAGTGAGGCTTACTTCACATCGATTGTTGTGACACAACCTAGCCTTGACCTTTTCTCCAGCTCCATCTTTTTAGCTGAGTACATCTTCTCTTGGTTCTCCTATATGCCTGACACAGATTGAGTACAATTATATTCAGTTTATGCCTCAGGGTTTTTATGTTTTTGAAACTCTTTATAAATTTTTTACTTGCCCTTTTACACAGAGAGGTCACAGGTCAGGTTTAGCTATTGAATAGAGTGTCTTGCTCAAGTGCAGTATTGCTGTGGTTTCAGATCACAGTATCTATAGACCTTTTTACATGGAGATCGTGCTGTAAGGGCGCTACGAAGTCCATTCTTTACCCTGCCTTCACATTTTTACACAGAACCAAACAACAGCTGCATCGTGCTGCTCCAGTGTGTGATTTTAAATAGAATACTGGCATCCTGGAAGTAAAAAGAGGTGTGATGGGCGCAGCATGTAACACAAAATCACCCTCTAGTGTGACATATAACGTGTGTCAGTAGCACTTTCTAAACAACCACAGTGGCATGGCAGAAACAATCATTTACTGTTCTCATTATGTGGCTGCTGATCTCACCAAGCTCTGAAGGGTAAGGAGCTTCTGAATTCCATTGTCTCCCCAGTTTGTGGACATTTTCAGCTGCTGTTTTATCTTGTGAAGTTAGCTGCTAACTGCTGCCAGCTGCTTTTTAAATCTTCCAGCAGTGGGTCACACACATAACATACCATTAAAACTTCACACCTGTTCCATCCATGGTCCCGTCCTGATGACTGTCCCCTGTATACAGACCGCTGTTACCTCCGCTGCTGATGTGTTCTTATCCCAGCTCAGCAAATATCGCCTCTTAGTCAATGGACTTTCATGCCTACATATGATGCGCTAGGTAAACACATCATGGTTTGGCTTAATATTCAAAGGGGAAGCATCAGCGGCCTCTTGGGTGAAAGTCCAAGCTTTGCTTGACCTATCCACCTCCCCTCCCCACAACCTTATAGGGACTTTCCAGCTCCTGATATTATGTTGTTACCAAAGGTGTTAAAAACTGGCACAGTCCGGCCCAGCGGCATATCATACTGCCACAGAGGGTACCTTTTTGCGTCAATGTCTGACACCGAAATCACTGGCAAAGTGGAGGTATTTGACGAGTTTCGAATGAGAACGGGCCGCTGATGCTGCCTTAAAGATGAGGCATATCTCATTTTCCATGTGGGTCTCCTGCAACAGATTCGCAGTCACGTTGTTTTGGGTGGCAATTTTTGCTCAAGGATATTGGTCTTGGCGATGGTGAAGCCTTCCACGTTGGGCTTAGGCTGTGGTCTGTGAACGCTTTGAAGACATTGGTTTCACTTCAAGAGCATGCAACCTTGCAACTACTTTTTAGCTACTTGCAGGGGAGGCCACGTGGAGGCTTTATTCATCTCCCCCTGAGACATGAATGCGGGGATCTACTACAAACTGTGGAACCCAGCTGCCCCAAATACTAGCCACCAAATGGGGATCGTATTCTAATTGACCTGGATGATGAAACACTGGACTGGCTTGCCTCAACGAAACAAAAGGTCTAGGGACATATGCCAGAAGAAGGCTGTGTAAAAGGGTATTATAATTACTGCTTTGCACTTCTCTGCCACCCTTATGTTTCATTTACATTCACATCTAACAAGAAATTAGATTGTGCACATTGTATTGTTGAATGAACAGGACATCTCTCAGCCGGCTGACAGCCTCTGGGAACACGGTCCATTGCGTACATCAGAGCGCACACTTGTGACCATATTCTATTTGTGTAGTAACTGCGTAAATGAATGACATCTGTCATCTGGGACCTGCGACATCTGGAGCCTGACACCCAATATGTGAGAGATGGCGACCTTTAACACCACAGCTTTTTATAGTTTTGTCATATTAAAAAAAAACATGTTGCACCTCCCCTCCGTTGTCTCAATCTGTTGCTGTCTCCCCGAACCATCACTCAGCTCCTCCAGCTCTTTTCCCCTCTCATTAGTTTTCTATTTCTGTCTCTTTCATCTCTGTCACCCTCTGTTTCACACATTTCTATGTTATTGTTTGTTACTTTATCTGCTTTTGTATCTGTGGCTCGCTCGGCAGGAGTGACCAGTGCAAGCAGCAGGGACTAATTAACATATGTAGTATGCGAGAATTCTGATGAAGCATGTGTGTGTGTGTGTGTGTGTGTGTGGTTCACATGTCCATGAGTGTGTCACAGCTGACCAACAAGGCTAGTGCTGTCACCCGTCTGCGAAGAGGCATCTGGTATTCCATCTGACAAGAAGAAGGAAAATGTGTGTGTGTGTGTGTGTGTGTGTGTGTGTTCCCATACTGTATGTGATTAAGTGTTACAGTGGCATGCATTTGACTCTGTGTGTACACTATGTTTGCCCTTGCAGGTGAGTGAAAGTATCCTTGTGTACATACAAACTTGCAAGTTTTTCTGCCAACTCGCGGATGTGTATCGCGGTCCGCATATCTCTGCATATGCTCAGGGTCTATTTGTGTATATATGTGTGCGCATGTGTTCTCCACCACACAGTGGGTGATAAATGATGCACCGCTTGGACAGTTGGCTTTCCGCCTGGACCGACAAACTAATTAATTTCCTCGAATATCACAAGTATCAGGTAGATTGTTGAGTCGGATTCCAGAAGAAAAGAGTGGGTGGCGTTTTAAAAAGTGATAAAAATGAGGAGTAATTTTGTCCCGCGTTGCGATTCCTGAGGTGCCGCCACTCTTCATTTGTGATGTTCCAGTTCAGCTGAAAGGTCTGAGATGAGTGTCATTATACAGACGGGGAAAAAAGAGGTTTGGGTTGTTTGTATTTCTTAAACCTAAAATCAGAAGGACTGACTTAAACAGCACTGACCTCACAAAATGCAACCAAATGTATTTCCTGTGTCATCGCTGAGAGGTTAATGGAACCATTTGCTTTAAACTTTCATAAAATATGTGCTCATGAATGACATGTGGAGAGCTGAAGGAGGGAATAGAAAGGTGAAAAACCAAAGTGGAGAAGAGTGCTGTCCTCACTTAGCTGTGCTCTGAGACTCGACAGGAGCACTAATAGAAAGATTGTTAAAAAGGCATAAATCACGCCATAAAAAGAGATGTTTTGTGTCTTTATTTGGCTAAATGTTTGACCTTAAAGTGGGAAAAGACAAGTCTTCTGCTTTAATTTATCATTCTCAAGTTAATGTTGATTGCACAACGTAATGGCTATAGAATAATGACACCATCTGCATTTCCTTGGTTCCCTATAAGCTTTTACTATGCAATTCTGTCTGCCATCGGGTACGATCTCCCAAGGCTCGATTTATTGGAGGACACCGCTTTACTTTTCCCCGGTAGCTATCCAGAGTTATCAAAGAGTACCACTGTAAGTTCTTTGCAGTTACTATCCCCAGCAGCAGGAATAGTGGATGGTGTTACAACCGAACTAACAGTGAAAAACAAAATGCTAGTACCTAGAGTCTGGATAAAACAGGTTACATTTACACAAAATACATTTATGTTGTACACATTCTTTCATATTCAGATTCTGAATTAGTAATCTTTGGTAGTTACTTTGTGTTGTTTTGTTTTTGTTTTGTTGTTGTTGCTGTTTTTAGTCTTGTAATGAGTTTTGCACAGAGCAAACAAAGCTTGATTTTATTCTTTCTGAGGACTATATGGGAAAAAAAAGATTTCCCTTGTCTGCAAAAAGAAAATCAACAATCTTGATTACATTCATATATTTCATTATTGCAGTTTAACAGACAGGTGCAGTTCAATTTGCCATTAATTACTTTGTTTTCTCCAGAACACTCTTTTTTAATTACTATGCAAATAATGCAAAAATAAACTTCTTTGTTAATGATGTGTTTCCCTCTGCTTGTGTGTGTGTGTGTGTGTGTGTGTGTGTGTGTGTGTGCAGGCGTGCTGTGGAACCTGTCGTCATGTGATGCTCTGAAGATGCCGATCATCCAGGACGCCCTGGCCGTCCTCACCAACAGCGTCATCATACCCCACTCTAACTGGGACTCCTCCCCCAATCACCATGACGACCGCAAGCTCCATCTTCATACCTCGCAGGTGCTGCGCAACGCTACAGGCTGCCTCAGGTAAAAGCAGCAAGTGCACACACACACACACACGTAAACACACACACATACACTTCTATAGTGGACATTCCTGTCAAGGCATGCCGTACGGACCTTTGTTCTTCCTCTCTCTCTCCTGCCTGATCTGACTCTCATCTGTAGGAATATAAGACGGTGCCATAAACACACGCTGCATGTGGTTCTCTGTTATCCCTCTGAAGTACAATATATAGATCAAAATGTTGTCTTATTGATTTCCTACAAACATACAGTAGTAGTGCATTACTCACCATGGCTTCATGAAGCTCAACAGTGTATGTGAGATGTGTGTGTGTGTGTGTGCGAGCAAAAGCATGTGCATATAATAGTACGTACAGAGATTGACCATAACGAGACAAGTTGATTGTGCGTGACAATGACTGTTGTCTCTTTTGAGTCTTTACTGCTGTGTGATTATAGATGCATATATTCACAAACTATAAACAGTACTCTATGCACAGTTGTCTCTCTCTCTCTCTCCCTCTCACTCATTCACTTGACCACGCTCTCTTTTGCTAACTTGTGCAGGTAACCATAGCAACAGCTCCTCCAATTGTATGAGTCCTTTGTGTGTCAAGACTTTTTTTTTTTATGGTGCATTGTGCTGATGAAGTGTGTTCCTTAGTTATTAAAGCTTAAATAATGAAGGACTACTTGAAGTTTTCTAGATCACATTGTTTATTTTACTTCTCAAAAATCAGAGACGTTCAAGTAGCACTTATTTACTTTTTCACACTTCACTTGAGTTTGCCAGATGGAAAAGTTTTAACAGCGTACATACAACAGGCAGTTTTACTAATTGCATTTTATTATTTTTCAGAAGTGCCACTGTCTTCTCTTATATTAACACAAATGCTCATGTTACTCAAAGCTGCAGTCATGTTTTCTCAATCATATTGCAAGTGCAGTGAACCTGCTGGTTTTAAAGCTCCAGTGTGTAACATGTAGGGGGATTTAGTGACATCTAGTGGTGAGGATTGCATATTGCAACCAGCTAAACCTCCCCTGGGGTCACATTTTTAAACACTGCGTACGCACAAAATGAGGTCTGAAAGAGGTGTACACCACTTCCCATGCAAAACTTGTGATCTATAGAAATAGGCTTGATGGGAGAAACTTTGACCCATGATTACAAACATATTAGAGACAGGAAATTGGCGATGCAGATGGAGAGGTGGGAGCCTGATTGTAGAAACTGTAATATTTTTTTGCGGCGCACACCATTTTCGGCTTTTGTCTTTAAGTACATTTTTGGTATAGATCCTACGCACTGTTTTATAAATCAGACCCCTGGTTACAATTTCTTCAATGTCTGTTGTTCAGGATGATTTTAACAGGGGCTGAATTATTCGCAGAGGTCACTCCCTCTCCAAAACAAATGAGCAAAGCAGATTCATATAGAGCCAGCGTTTGTTTTTTCCGTTCTGTGCAACATGGCAATCTCCATAGATGAGGACCTGCTCCCTGTGTAGATATAAATGTCTCATTCGAAGGTCACGAAAGGACGATTCTTATTTTTGGGTGATTAAGAAGAAGAAGACGCACTTTATTAATCCCTGAGGGGAGATTCAATTTTTTTTTTCACTCTGTTGTCGTATACACACAGACCTGAAATACACACACACACTGCCCATGGACAGGCAGCCCAAGAAGCTGGGGGTTCAGTGCCTTGCTCAGGGGTGCCCAAGAGGCGAACTGGTACTTCTCCAGCTACCAGTCCACACTCCATGTTTGGTCTGGACAGGGACTTGAGCTAGCGACTTTCCGGTTCCCAACCCATGTCTCTATGGACTGAGCTTCTGCCGCCTCATTATACACTAAAGATACTTTTATATTCTGTTCTTTTCTTGCCAATATATCCCCATAAATCCTGCACACTTGCTCTTTAGTTTCAAATTTCAGAAGTCCAGAGTGTTTTTAAACTCATCCTGGTGATCCTAGCAGTAGCATCCTTTAGAAGATGTGTAAATTGGAGTCGCGGAAAAATTCCCATGTGTATCTGACTGTTTAAAAAAGTCTATATACAGTAATACTGGTACTGTGGTTGCATTCTCACCTTGTAGCCACATTAGCTATTTGAAAGGATAAACAACACCTAAGTCACTTTTTGTTACTTCCAGAAAGTTATCAAAGCAAAATGAATGTCCTGTCTTTAACATGATGATGCTAATATTCAGCTTTTGTACATAGCAAAATCCTCTGCACAAACTGACTACTTTAGTTGTGATGTTTAATTCTGGCTGTGTGCATTTCACTTGAAAGGGAGCTCTGGTTCTTGATCCCATACAACAACATTTGTTCGTCTGTGTACACACAGTTTCACACCAACTCCACAGAGGGCTGAAACGGTTTAGAAAAAAACCCCTCCATGTCCACTTGGCTGTCTCTCTTTGAGCTGTGCACTCAATCAACCACCAGCAGCCTCAGGATTAAACCTCACCCCACTCCGCTTTGCAGAGCTTCTCTCAAGCTGTTTGGAATGCTTATCTTCAGCTATTGAATGTCTCTCAAAAGCATTTCAAAGCCATTCTGAAGATGTTACAAACAGGTTTTTGTATGTATTCACATAATTTGGTGTGTAAGGTGCTACATTGTGTGTATGCAGTCGACATACGGAGGCAAAGACTCCAGTTGCTGCGGTAATTGTTCCGTTTGTGATCACTTTAAATGAGAATACCAGCTTGCGTAATTGTGGTCGTTCCAAATATCAAAAAACATATAATTATGGATGTTTGCACACTTCTAGTTGTTACTGCTTTTCAGTCAGACTTCTCTGACCGCTGTGTAACTGGTCAAAGTGGACAGATGCTGAGCCAGCACTGGCACTTCTTTTCTTAAGACATTAATCTGTATCAGTTGTTATTCAATTGAATAGTACAAATTCCTTTAACATAAAGGCACCATAGCTCTTGTGCGTTTCTGTATGTTTGCTGCACTGCTGTTGTACTTAACCTCAGAGGGCCGACTGCATTGTGAAGTACACCACTTTGATATCTCTTCTAAACACAGTTCGCGGTGCCAGTTGTACAGCTTGGAGGCCATTAAATAAGCATTTGGAAGGTAAAATCCAGTGTAGTTTTTTTGTTACAAACCTCTCTGGATTTTGTTGTCAGCATTCTAATGGAACAACACAGGAATTGCCATGGGGGCCCGTGGTACAAGACAAGATGATTAAACACTATAACTCAATATCACAAACACCTGTACAAATATAATTCAGTCCACTAATAGCTTTGCATTCGCAGTAAATATTACAGTAGGGTAAGTTATGTTTGGTTTCTTTTTGCTGGGGTGAGTCAGAGCCAGAGCAGTGCTGACATGTTTTTGATATTTTGCATAATTGCATTTACATTTGGGTTGTATTATGTTGTTACCTGCAATAAATGTTTTGTCCAGCGCTGTGTGGACAGCACCTTTTAGGGATTAAATATAGACTGTGTTAAATAACAGATTTAGACAACATGATGTCTCCCATTGGTTTGTGGAGTCATTTTGAAGTCTTGTTTTTGTTTTTTTAGTCATCATCATCTTGGTTTTTTGAAGCCAGAAGTGTATTTGGACAAGAGGGTAGACATAACCCTACCCTAGGTTAGTTAGCACAGTGCATTTACAGCTATGGTTAAATGTTATAGTGCTAATGCTAATTTCTGGTAGCAACAAGTAGGCTTAAAAAACTTAAAACAAAATACACTCACCAAAGAAAGTGAATATCAGACTCCTTAGAGGGTCTAGTACAACCAAATGCAAGACTTTTTTAGGCGACTATAACGTTAGAATTAACCTACATAAACTAAAACACTCTGAAATAGCAACAGCTAGAGCTACCTCTATACTTGTCACCATAGTAGGGACCAGTCAACAGAGGGCACTCAAAGTGGCCGTGCCTATAATTACGTAGATGAGTGACTTAGATAAAAATTCAACCCCTGTACAGTTGTCATGAAAGGGGAACTTAGTTATAGAGATCAAAACTGTTTTTGCACCAGGCTGCAAACATGTTTATTTCTGCTGTAAAGTTCAGTATTTTAACCTGGGGTTGCATTGGGATTGACTCGCTTTTGTAGCCACCCTCAAGTGGCCATTTGATGAACTGCAGTTTTTGGCACTTGTAGGTTGGCTTCTTTTATTTGCCCCCAGATTGCCGCTTGGGATTAAGAGGATACTCCAAAAGGTTATTTCCAGTGTTGGGGGTGACAAGGTGTCTGAAGTTGTGGGCTTTCAACATGAAGTCAACTCTAGAGGATGAAAAGCTGAAAAGATTTTGGTCATGTGGATAGTAAGTAATAAAACACATAACCAGCAGGATTGTGGGTAATATTATTACATTTACAATGTCACGTAATGCCTTATCACCCGAAATGATGTGTTCATTGTTTTAATTTTTCATTCATCCACACTGATCCATAAGGTGCCACTTCTGCTAGTGTGTCACTTGAAAAAATATCCGCCAAAGTTTTTTGTGTATTGTCATGTTATTATTGACTTCATTATAGAGGAGTGTCAGCGATCCGGACACATGGGTGATGCCTTACTGTGTGTTAGCATGTTCAGCGTGTTTACATTCACATATCCAGAACGCCTACAGCATATCCTGTTCTGCTTGCGTGTCCTAAGGCTACTTGAAAGCAGTTTGTTTTTTTCCTCATCCCACTGATCAACACATGTGGTTGATGCCATCAAATGTGTGTTAGCATATTGAATGTTTTCCCATTCACATCCCCTACAACACCAACACACCATCCCTTTTTATACACAACTCTCTCCGATAGTGTTCTAACTGACCAGCACACTGGGAACCAGCAGCTCTGGTGTATTAATCTGCACTCGTCATAGTGACTGACTCACACGTCGATCCATTTGTTGTGCTAACCTCTGCCTTTGTCTATTGTGTTTCATATGACAGGCATACAAATAGCCTATTAATCCCTCTCTCATGATTTATCAGACTTTGATCCCTTGTCTGCCTGATTGTCACTGTGTCA